AGTGACAACGACACGAACTTCCAGAATGGAATACGTGTCAAGCGTGTCGGGAAAGATATATCGTGTATATTCAATAACGAGGCAAACGCTTAGCCAACTGTTCTGCAGGAAGGGCTTCGATTTTGAATTATAAGGAAGTCGAAGTCTCCTGCTTCGATCGTGTGGAAGAACAGTACGATTGTTTAACACGGAAACTGCTGTCTGTTTTTTTTTTTTTAGTTTTTAATGTCCTTTTTATTTGACGTTGGAATTATCGGGGATGAAACTTTAATTTAAAGTATGGCGAGTCTCCAGACTTTGATTTATTATAAGAGAGATTTAGTTAAAATTTTGACACACGATATTGTAATTATTAGCTTCGAAATGCCCTTAGCTTTCAATATTCCAGTCTTTGACGATGCTTCTGTTTCAAGTTGTACCCAATTGAATACAAATTCGGATCTAACATCTCTCCAACAGCTGTGTAGCAAACATCTCTCCAACAGCTGTGTAGCAAACATCTTCCAACAGTCGAGTTGTAATAAAACTGTACTTTCCTCCATTAACACCCGAAACTACGGTAATTCAGTTAGAAGTGATCATATCTTATTTCTTAATATTTCCTCCATAAACACCCTGGCTCAGCGAATGCAAATGCCGAGCACGCAACCCCTAATATACCGTCTTAACGACCCGAATATTAAACGAATCTAAACAACCCATTAGCAGAATTCGCAAGAAGAGAAAATGGAGGATCCCAGTGACGATCTTCGAACGTCTTCCTCGTTCTGAGAGGAGCGCGAGGAGATTCGCTCGAGGACCCTTGGCTGTTACTAATCAAGTAATCAAACACGAGGTACAGCTCCATCATTCCTGAATTAACATCTGCGACCCGGTTTGGCCATAGTAAAGTACATACTGTCGAAACTTCTCTCTTCCCCATTGTATCGATTCCATTCCGTGGGTGAAAATAAAGGGTACACGTTTTAATTTATTGGAATTTATTGGAAAAGTATAACTGTACCAATGACGGTGAAAAATTTTTGATAATTTAAACTTGAAGGCATAACTTTGTAAAAAGAGATCACATAACGATCCACTTGATCTTGTTTTAAAGCGTGAAGCTTCTATTTTGACATTCGCGAGTTCATTTTTTTTTTTTACATTACACTTATATCTTACACGTTATTATTTTTTTATTCCAATATATTCAATGAATAAACTATAATGTAGCTCTGTCACCATTGAAGCTTATTGGGATACATGAAGGACACAGAAGCCAATCAATGTAAGTCGCCTTCTCCTTAATTAAAAACAGCTCTTTTATTATCAAAATTTTTGATGGCACAGTTTAATCATTACAATATAATACTTACGACATCAAAGTTCAAAATGTTCCAATGATTTTTCAAGGAAAATAACTTACACTGATTGGCTTATAATTACGGAAAGCTTGAAGATTCGATTCACGCAATGAAAAAATATACAAAATATCTACAGTAGAGTATTTATTACAATACTTACTTTCCTTCGTATTCATAAAAGTATAAAAATAAAAAGTATAAAGCAAAAATCTACTGACCAACAGCCTATGTATCCACGAGTGAATTTAAAAAATATTCTAAACCTAATTTGCCTCCGCAGTAGGCTATACCGCAATAGAAATTATTGTATCTCTTTCGGTAAATTATTGTTTACTTTCGGTAAAAAGTAAAAAAGTAAAAAATCCGCTTCGAAAGAGTTAAGGAACAGCGTTCAGGGGGGGAAAGAAATTTAAGCGACAGGGTCGAGTCGTTAATGAATAATTCAGACGATGATTTGCATTAACTGGTGCAAACGTCCTCGACTTCGTTTCGGTTTCGTCTTGGCTGCGTACTTAATGGCAACGGTTTTTGCGGCTCGTCGACTCGTCGGTGTGTCGCGTGTCGCGCGTTTCAGGGAACTCCCGGAGCTTTATTACCAGCGGTGCCGTAGGCAGCTGTGCGTTTCTGGCCGGAGACCTCAGCTCGTCCGACCAAATGAATAAATAGGTCCGGGAAATGGCCTGTTTTATTGGACTAACGCGGGTAATTCAATTCGAAGAAAATGGAGGCCGCGCGAAAGAGGATGATAGCGTTTCGCAGGAGCTTTGTGCAGAAAGGGAGAATTTATTGCTTTCTGGGACTTATTCTTGGAAATATTCGTTCTTACGCGCGTGATACAAAGAAATATCACTTGCACAAACGAAATGTTATCCTGCGAAATGTTATGTGGAACATGTTGATATTTTATTAGCACTGCAGCGACACTTCACTGTCATGATCATATTGGCGAGGTTTGAAATTGTACAGCGTAAGTGTGCGTACACAGGATGGTCCAATACTTAGATAATTAGAATTAGCAGTTGAATATCTTCATTCGTTCTTGCAGAAATTTTGGCAAAAGTTGTTCAGTATAGAAGTGATGATAATATGGCAGTATTAATTTTTTTGTAACTGGTAGGAAATTTCGGAAATTCCCACGTAACCTCCATTTCTATATAATAGATATATTTTAGTATTAACTTATGCATGTCGAGAAATTATTAGTTTAAGAGATATTTGTAACTTTAATTTTAAAAGAAGACTATCTTTGTCTCTCCTCTTCTCGATAAATCGTTTTTCATTTATTAATTGTGTAGCTAAAATTGTGACGTGATGAGTATATTCCTCAAATAAATACTTGACGATATGATAGTTGTTTCTTTTTTTACTTACTTTACTTCGTCAACTGTTGACGACAAGATACTTGAAATTAAATGAAGCAATAGTGACGAAACTTCATTTAAACTGAAGCGATAATGATAAAACTTTAACGGAACATTTTTAATAAGAGGTCCATTTTTTATAGCCTGCAAAACGATGGAATTAACATCAAAAGACAAGGCTGACTTATTAAAGAACCAGTAAACTTTTAGTTCTACGTTCTGTCGCAAGTGTAATTCACTAGCTTCGAATAACCTTCGGTACTTTCCTGGCCTAAGTAATTAAATATGCATCACACACATCAAACAAATTAATCTCATCGTACGAGGCGCAGTTACGCATCTTTCGCGCGCGAGTTACTTTTGGTTGAAAGCGGCGAACAGCTTGCCTTTGCTTTCAATAGTTCATGAAGTAAGAAAGGTAAACGAACGATGCTCGAGTTTTCCCTTACTTTCGCAAAACTCCATCGTATAGTGCCGCTATAACGTACTGAACTTTGGATAACACCGCTGAAAATTCTCTTAGACTGTCTGAACGTGTTTTAACTCACGCTTAATGGAAGCTGCATCATCGTTGTCACGAGCGAGGGATATTTTATTTGAAGACACGAGGATATTTTATTTATTTCGTACGAAAGAAACGTGATGTGTCGAGACTTTCGTTGGGTTTTTAATTTTGGTGTTATTCGACGGTCAAAGGGAAGTATTTTAACGCGTTGCGAGTTGGATTTATTCTTGCAAAGTGCAACGAATGCTGTCGAACATTGTGGTGTTAAATCGAGTTTCAGAATCGATCTCCTTTGTAAAACGTAAACAATTCTTTTTCGATTTGCTTAATTTTATAACGACAAAGCAGGGAATCAAAGGAAAGATTTTTTTTATTCCTACAATGATAACCAAATTCCTCGAATATATAATTTTAATAAAATTACAACACGTAATTATCGATGATATGAATTTTTTAAAAGGTACTACAGTGGTTTTATAAAATTGGAGTAAAAGACTTAACAGAAGACAAATTATAAAATGCACGGCAAAATTGATGAGTTGTGAAAATAATTTTTTTACATATGGGAAAACTGATTTATTTATGAAATGACATTATTTATCAAATAGCTTAAAAAGCAATCAACGTGGAATACTCTTTCTCTGTCAGAAAGTTAAAACTGAGCTACTCTTAGAATCGTCTCAATAAAGCCATATTGATTAACTCAGTCAAAGAAAAATATGTTGAATTTCTTGTCAATACTAATTAATTAAACTGCGGATTTTTATAATTTTACAATTTGCGTCTTTAAATTTCTTATAAATGCATAAAAATCCGTAGTTTACCAATTTCGAATTTGCGTAAAGAAATTAGGAAAACTGAGGAAATTATTATTATTGGAATTAGGATTATTTTATTTTAAGAATATTTGAATTATTATTATTGATGGGAATTAGGAGAAAATAAAGTTGACCAGTTTTCAAAAGTTTCAATTAATCCAGCATTCGAGAGTTAATGACAGAACTATAATTTAGAAAAGCAACTGTATTTCATCATCCACAAGCTCGATCGGTGATGGATCATCGAACAGAAAAATCGTAAGAGTAAGTTCTTCGTATGGTCGTCGCGAGGAAACTGAGCGGAAAAACAGGAGCTCGACAAACCAGTCTTTGCGAGCGTACAATCGTCGATCGATCTTCGTGCATCGTGCTACGTTTGTCGATTTTACGATACCATACTACACATGTACGAACCCTGTTTCAAGATCGAACAAATAGAGAAAACTGTAGAAAAAATACGAGGTAATCCGTGCTTACCAAAAAATTGCAATTTTCCACGATTTCGTAGAACTTTTGTAAGAATGCACGTTGGATCGAACGTTCGAGAATATTCGACTAAATTAAGAATGCATTCATCTTTTGATATATTTGATATAGTAATATCGAATATTATAATTAATATTAATATTGTGTATGTAATTGTTAATATGTTATCCTCTTTGAATTAAGTATTGGAAGTGCAATGTAAAATTCCGATTCGTGATAAAGTTGATAAAGTTGTCTTCTATTGCATCTTAAAATGCACATCGACTTTCATATCATTGGCACGATTTATATTATTTTAAATGGAACTTGACCTGTACGCTTTTGCTCACTTATCAAAGAATAACTAACTACAACGTAAATTGAATTCTTCTGAAGTAAAGGAAGTAAAAGCACTTTTATTTTAAACATCTTTGTCCACTGATCACCACACATTCTTCCTTTAGATGTGAAAATTAAGGTAATCAGAACTTTTAAAAGGTATACTCACGTAGAAAAAGAAACATCATTAGCACAACATGGAGATGGGAAACTGGCTCTTTTTGCGTTAAATGCAGATTGTAGGAATCCGAATCCCAGGAACTGCGAGACCCAAGAGAATCTGAAAAGGAAAGAAGAAAAAAAAGGAGTGAAAAACAGATACTTTAATATATAAATGGAGTTTTACTACAATAAAGAATAACGAAACGAAGATATATTTAATGCTATTTATTTACAACAATTATAACTATAATTTTATACTTTATATAGTGTCCACTAAAGATTAACGTATCCCTTTGTTTCTTGATTCTGAAAAAATATTGCTTTCTCCTCGACACCTAGTAACTACGTTCTCAAATTAACATAAATGATTGGCCACCATACTTATCTTAAACAAGAGAAAGAAGATTAGCCACCATACTTATCTCAAACAAGAGAAAGAATAAGAGAAAGAATATTGGCCACCATACTTATCTCAAACAAGAGAAAGAACAAGAGAAAGAAGATTGGCCACCATACTTATCTCAAACAAGAGAAATTTTGAAGAGTTCAATTTGTGAAGAGTAGTTCATACCAAGCACTCTATCACTGAAGGGAACGTGAACACGCGCAACACAAGGAAAACTCTGCGATTAAAAATCCAAGGATTACGTTGATTGACAATTAGCTTAAAAGCGAATTTCTCTTATTTTTCATTGGATCGTTCACGCACTCGTTCGCCGCGACGATCTTGCCCGATTTTTCGCCGCTTTCGAGATCCAGTCGCACCTGTTGAGCTTATTAACAAAGTGGCTGCCTGACTGTGACGCACCCTTTAAATTTCGTGTTCGTTGTACCTTTTCGTTTCTGTTTTATCACTCTCTGTCAACGTTGTTCAGAATCAATACGAAGAGCGACTGAAAAATATCGCCTCGTCTCGTCGCCAAATTTTCCGCAAACTGAAACTGATAATTGAACTGCTATTCGTTTTCAAAATTTGTCTTAAGATTTTGACTCGAATAAATATTGAATTAAATCATTGCGTTATCTAATAACATTGATTATTATATTATTATATTATCGCGGATGTAGGTTTTATCTAACGACATGCAGAATTATACGATCATCATAAAAGTACTCACATTGAACTGATATATAAATGGATATATTCCTTCCTTGAACTTAGAAATTGATTGTTAGATCAGCATGAAAATTTGTTTTGCATGGACTATCATTTGGCAAGAGAGACTAAAAACAGATAAAAAAGATCTAAATTCTTATCCGAAAGAGGTGAAGAGATCTTGCGGTGGTGTCAATATGGCGAGATAGAATTAATAAGCAAATATTTGAACCGGTCGTGACGAGAATTTGTGTGCATTTAATTTAACAAAGTCAATAGCTTAACGGTTAGATCAATTTGATTTTCCCTGTTGAATAGAGCGAAACTTCGATTGAGAATGGAACGCCTTTTAAAATGTCGCGCTGATTCAATATTTAAATAGAAGAAAATGCTTCTTTTCCAACTTAGACACAAATTAGTACACAAAGAAACTCATTTTTCGTTAAAAAAAAAAAAAAAAAAAATGAAAAGAAGAAAAATATGGAGAAAATGCTATGAAATATAACTTATAGAATTGCTTCGAATATTGGTATCGTATGAAACCATTTAAGGCATACTTGATAATTGATTCAATTAATCTCCTGAATTTGCGTAATAAAAAAAATTACAAGCACAGTCTTCTCTTTCTTGTGTCGAATCAGCAAGAATGATTTGATCGTCACTTACCGATGAAATTTCCAGATACTGCACTTTGCATTGTTTCTCCATTTGTTACTTTGACAATGTATAAAATTCGAAACTTAATCATTGATCGATGTATATGTATTTTATTTATATCGATTTTGTTGAAACTTTTGTAAGTAAATTATTTTGTACATTCGTTTGTCTCCTTAAAAATATTAGAGATTAGAGAGAAATCTGAACTGAAACGAGCCTGTCGCTTTTTTCCAACAATAAACGCACAATGAAATACAATTATTTTCTCTCGTTTGAGATCTATTCAATGAAATTCCATGAAACAGAAAATAAAAAAAAAAAAAAAAAAAAAAAAAAAAAAAAAAGAAACACCGTCACAATAACTTCAAATAACTTCAAACGAGCGTTGACAGATTAACTCGTGAATAGAGTTTCACTTTTAAATCCACTTCGCGTCCTTGAACACCGCGTATTTAGCGTTCCGTGAACGATTCGGGTTTCGTTCGCGTTTTGTGATTACAGACAAGCATTTCTAACCGCACGATCAAAGTGACAATGGTGCGCAACGTTGCGCAATTCTGGCTGCAGGTGAATCGCGGTATGGAACGGTTTATTGTTCGTATGAATTGCAGGCAAAGGCGAGCGTAAAAGCGAAACGGTGCGAACGGTGAAGGAGGACGACGCGACTATCGAGGCTTGTGCACGCGCGAATTTGTGCCGGGCTTTTGTGTGCCGGCGATTATTGCAAGCAACACCTAAGGCAAGTCGATGCGGGGATTTAATCAGAGAGGTCGGACCCCAGGCTGGATCTCTTTGATGGAAACGCTGGGGGCCTGTATATAACCGGCGCGTAAACTCTCTCCGGCAATCCTGTTTCCAACGGCGATCTACAATCTCAGTTCTCGCCGCCGCCGTCGTCGTCGTCGTCGTCGTCGTCGTTGTCGTTGCGTCGACGTTGACGTTAAACGTCAGTCTCGATCTATATCCTGGGAAATAGCATCGACACGGGACACCGTCAGTTTTAAAAAGGAGAGAGGCGAGACTGGAAAATATAATTTCAACTTGTCGTTCTCTCCGACAAGACCGAGGTGAGAGAGGGGTGATAACCGTGTTAAAAAGTAGAAAATTTCAGCGACGAAGTTGCCGTTAAATTTGTTAACTATCAAGGTGGATGGGGTAGATGAGGCGAGAAACGTCAGGCCGGGAATTGTAAGATTTTTTGGCGCAGAGTTAGTGAAAATAGAAGAATACGTAGTTATAGTTGGTCGCTAGTTGGTCATTTAAAGAAAGATAAAGGTTTCAAACATTTCATAAACGTTAATTTATTTGTTAGGTAAAAGAATATAGATTTTGAAAATATGTTTGTTGTATATTCGCTGGAAGATGTAATTAAATTGGAACAGAAAAATAAAATCTGAGTACCTTAAAATGTGGTCTCGTAGGAAGTTTATTTACATATAGGTATTGAACATACGGTGATTTTATTATAGATTTTCGTAAGACTATATTCTTGATTCATTTATACATTTTTATAACCAACTTCCAACAAATAGATTAATTGAGATTTATAAAATATCCAAAACACTTCTTGTTCTGCTTTTAAATATTTAAGATTTATATGTACGTACGTAGATCTAGAACAATTTAGAGATAGACTACTCGTTCGCAGAATCTTTCATTTATTTTAATTTTATTAATAATCTTTCTATCGCGGAAAATTTAAAACGCAAAATAAAATCAAATTTTAGTAATGTAATATAACGTAGATTTTTAAATGTTGTAATCTATAATTTAATCATTCGAGGATTAAAAACGAGAGACTTGCAAACAAAACTTAATAATTTTTGCTAACTTGATTATGCATCTTTCTTGTCAGAAATTTTTTTATTTCAAATAATGTTTAATTCAACACATTTCTGTTTTTCGTACATTCTATTCCCGGAGATGTAGGGATTCAGTTATACAATTGTTGCGCCAATATATTATGATGTATAACATAATGTTATGATACATGACAAATCAATATACTGCTACATTATTACGTCATTTTGGCACTAAAATAAATAATTAACTCAACTGATACTATTACTATTGATGTCACATAACTATATTATTATTATACGATCAAACGGATGCAACATATACGTCAGTATTATTACCTCAATATTACTAAACACGATGTTATTTTCGAAATATAATAAACAGGAGGGAAAGACAGAAATTGACAAACGGTCACATTTTTAAATATGAAGAGTGACAAAATTACGTGGCTCCGTTTCCGAGGAAAATGTATTTGAACAAATTGATCGAGTACGCGTGCACTTTACTAATAACCGACACTACAGACTTTTTACACAGTGTAGGTAGAACATAGACTTTTTCGGCTGACTGTAATACACGTAATCTATTAGCAAGAAATTTCGTCGAGGAAATTCGCCTGTCCGGTGGAAGACGCGGAACAGCAACGACAACGAAATCGCCGATGCGATTCTTGGGAAGAGATTTAATTGGTCGTTAAGCGGCCGTACGCTCCGACTCGGCTAGGACACTCTCCTCTCGTCCAATTAACGCTAATTACACTTAACTACGATAATAACGATGTACGCGCGGCGGTGATCCTCGTCGGAAAGTCTAGTCGGACAACGTGTACCCTCGTCGCTTCATTCGACGAACAAAAAAGTTAAAAAAGAAAAAAAAAAAAATAGCCTTTAACCGAGCCTCTCTCTGCTGCAGGAGATAGATAGTGGAACGAGAAAAAGAAAAAAATAAAAAAAAAAAAAAACGTTCTGACGCAAGCTGGCCAAAACTCGTTACACGCGTTAACTTTCGAAAACGAAATTTTCACCGCGGGAATTCCACGCGTCTGATTCTTTCTTCTCAATCCGCGCGCTTTGAAGATGAAGAGTAGGTGTGATTGTCACAGGATTTGGAGTCGGTGGTTGAAGAATTTGGACCAGTTGAAATTTTCAACGTTTCTCTGGTTTCTGGTTAAGTTAAGAAGTGAATGTGAGATAATTTTGCGATAATTTTATTGAAATCGTTGTAGATATTGATTTGAGATGCAAAAATCCTTTTACAGAAAAGATTCATCTCGTCGAAATGATAGCAACCGCATGAAATTTGCATTTTATCTTAATAGAGTCGAATCAGTTTGCTTTACTCTGCATCGGAGCGTTGCTCATGTTTTCGGAACGGCTGCAAGTCTCGCGACGACGGGCTTTTGCTTTTAATTCATCCAGTTTCCAGTTTAATCCCGGGACACGCAGACGCCTTTACAAGCACGCTGCATAATGCACGCGCATATTTCGTGCGTCGACCAGACGATGCCTTCTGTCGTTTGAAACGTCGGCCAACGTCCCGCCCAGTGAAACGCATCGGACCGTGGT